GAAAGAGGATGTGGTGCAGGCTGAGGGTGGAGAGTGCAATTTTAAATAGCGCGGCCAAGGAAAGCTTCACTTTGGAAGGTGATATTTGAACAAAGATCTGAAGGAGGTAAAGGAGCAAGCTATAGTGAGATCTGAAAGGACACTGTTACAGACAGCAGGGACAGACAGGCCTGCATGTGCAGTTAGAGAGCCATGGAGAATGAGGTTCCATACAGACACACTCTCCCTCCTGACCCCATTCTGGGCCCCAGACCCTGAGAGAATGCCAGGAGAGATGAGAAAGGGCAAATCAGGGATGAAACCTCAGATGGGACAAAATACTAAAAAGCAAACAGAAAACAAAATGTTGACGTGTCAGTGCAGGCCATTTCCAGAGGGAAGGACCTGACCCTGAAGCAAGACGGGTTAAGGGCAGAAGTGGAGAGTCCTCGTAGGGCTTGCTGGTAGCTGTGGGTTGCAACCAGAAGGGAGGCAAGCGCTCTGGCTAAGTACCTCTCAAATCCAGGTGACATTTGCTTTGAAGAGTGAATTATTCCAGGAAGTAGAGATGGGGCTACCTGAACTGTCTCTGACCACGTTCAACAGGACAGTGGCATGGCTGGGCACCACCTCTCTGCCATCAGTGTCCACACAAACCCTACCTGTTCTCTCCACGCTCCCATTTCTTCAGCACTTGCTATGAGATGGGGACTATGAAAAGTGCTTTCAGCATATATCTCACAAAATCCTCACAGCAGCCCCACAAGGAAGGCATAATTATCTTTAGTTTTCAGACAAGGAACATCCACCACTCCACCACCACCTTTGGTCCCCATCTCCCTCTGCAGCCCCTCTTCTTGCTGAGCCTGAAATAGCACAGGCTTAACCAGGCTCACAGCCAGGTTGACCCAGGCTCAATTCTCTGTCCTTCCACTTATTACTCCTTATGTGACCAGTGTGCTCATCTGGGAACAAAATGGTGAAACACAGCAATGCCCACCTCATGGACTATTGTGGGAATCTACTGGGAGAAGGCAGTGGTTCTGTCTTGACTCTGTAACTTGCTGTGTGTCTCTGGAAGTTGTGAGGTATGTGGCCAATAATTTGTACCTATAAATAGTTAAATCAAGGAAAGGTGCAAATGTTTTGCTTTTTTAGTATAAATATCAGTGAGTTCAATGTTTTCTCTGCAATGACATCACTCTCCTTGAGTGGCATTCCACAAAGCCTTCCAGAATGGGAGATAAAAGGATGGAGGGAGGGCCTAACCTGAGGGAGCCAGCAAGCAAATACTATCTCCCATGGGCGTGGTGTCAGATCAGGCCGAGGCACTGGACCGACCCCTCCTGCACAGCCTTGGCAGCGGCCTGGCAACATAGTAGGGCTTCTTGGCAGAGGAAGCCACAGCAGGACAGGGGAGTGGTGGGGAAAGGAATGGAAAGCTCACTGGTTATCAACCCTGCATTGCGAGGGGGTGGAAATTACGGGTAGAACATTCATGCCTGGTTGAGGGTTAGGAGCTTGAGATGACCTGACCCCAAAACTGATTATCTTGGTCCAAGGCTTCCTCCTCCCCACATCTAGAAGGGAATCTTGCTACTAGGTTCTCCCAACAGGCAACTCACAAGTTCATGAAATCAGTCAACAAGGCTTTCTCCCTATAGTCACCAACATCAACTCTGTGCTCGTCCCCCTGCTTTCCAGGTCTTCCTCACCACTGAACCCCTGCCTCGGGGCCCAAGCTGGTGTGACCGCCTTGCCCCAAGGCTGTCTGAGGGGCCACCCCCAAAAGAGACTTGCCAGGACTCAGGGCTATGCCAACAGCCAGCCCCATCCTCTTTCAATGGCTGAGAAGCTATTATGGTTGGGTGTGGGGAGGACCCAGCCAGGAGCACCAGGGAGGACTGCCTAATTCCCTGGGTAGGTGAGGGCCCCACTTCCTGTGGACGTTGCCCACATTTCCTGCACTATGGCTCCCAGACCAGGGGTAACTGTGAAGGCCTGTCCCTTCTCAATCCCAACCTACCATGACCTAAAACAAAAGAGAAAGATGGAAAAGGGAATCAAAGATGGGGCTGAGGATTGCAACTTGTCATCTCAAAGTTCTCTTCTCCTGTACTAGTCACTGCATATCCCCATATTCCTTCCTCCCCAACAGTAAGCTCAGTGGCTTCAGACATAGCCAGAGTCCATCAAAAAAAACAAAGATTCTTTATTGAAATCAGTAAACTCAGATTCTTCGAGCCCCAGCCCAGAGTGGGCAGCTCCCCGCCATCCCCTGTCCCCTCACCGCACCCCTTAGCCACAGAGAGGGGAATGGAAAATGAGAAGCCAAGAGGGCCTCTGCCCGGGCAGGCTGCCTCCAATGTGTGGTGAACCCAGTCCAGCTGCGGCAGGGGCGGCAGCCGCTACTGGCCCCTCCTTATAAATTAAGTCCCTGTAGCCACAGCTGTGGGTGAGGCATGTTTGTGGAAGGAAGGTCCAAAGGTAGCATTGCCAACCCCCAGCCAAGGAATGGATTGAGGGCACAGAGATCAGAGAAGAAGAGGTATGGGGTGGGGGAAGGAAGAAGCCCTAAATTTTGGTCCCAGGAGAAAAGAGGCCAGTTGGTCCAGTTTTTGTGGGTTTGGAGAAGGGAATGTATTAGTAAGCACATGGGGAGAGGCTACCATTGGGCACCCCCAGAGGAGATAGGCCAGGCCAGGCCCTCACCCTAGCAGTGGGGAGGTTGAAAGCTCAGGGAGCTCTTGGGGAATGTCACTGCTAATATATATATGTAGATGGATATGCATATCTATCTATCTATCTATATATATTAACCATCCACGGGAGAGTAGATGCAAGAGCTGGAGATGGATCAGAGGATCTGGCGTGGCATCCCATAGCCGGTCATGCCTGCCTGAGATGCCCCACGATTGGTGCCCATCTGCAGCCCAATCACGTTCTTGCCCTCTTGCAGCTGGTTGTCCGAGAAGTTCCGAGGGTTCTCCTTGGACTTCCTGGGTGGAGAGAGAGCGTTGGTTAGGAGGAGGTTGAGGCTGCCCTAGTAACATCTTCCCTGGAAAGAGCACAGGCTTTGCTGTGGCTCTAGTGCTGGCACCAGCTGTTCTTGAGAGCCCTGAGCGCTTGGAAGCCACCTCCTCATCTCTCGAAAGGGACAGTACCATGCAGGAAGATTAAGTGAGAGGAGGAACGTGAAGGTGCTCTGTAAAGGGCTAGCTGCTAAAGTGGATTAGTCATTTCCTAGGGACAGGGAGGGACAGGGTGACTGGGTAGCCCCTGCAATACTTACTTAGGAAACCAGTTGGGATCCCCAGAGAAAAGCCCATCGTCCCGGGCCACTGCCAGCCCACCCAGGTTCATCAGTGTCCGCTGCACACAGGCCATGTTCTTTCCTGGGAAGGAGAAAGGGCTGTGTTGTCCTCAACAGAGTTGGGGTCCTGACACCAGGGTTCCACCTCTATCCTAAGTCAGCAGGCCAGCTTCCAAATTCTTTTACTCTTTATCCCCATCTTTCTCCATACCAGCCCCCAACACAGCCAGCTCCTCCATAACACACACATACACACACACCCCTTTGGTCTCAGGGTGCCATAAACCTGCCCCTTCTCCCTAGTCAAATTGGCCTGGCCCAGTCTCTGGTCTTCTGGATGACAGCACCCTGGTCCTGGCCAACCTTCCCACAGGTCCACAGTCTGGAAGATGTCTGTGGTGTTGATGCCATAGCGCTCAGCTGCTTGCAGGAACTGAGAGATCTGCTCCATCTGCTTGAAGGCCATGGTGGAGGCCTGGATCTTCTTCACTGGGGCCTGCCCCTCAGGGTATAGTCCATTAATGAGCTCACACAGCACCTGAGTAAGGACAGCAGGTATGCAGAGGTGAGGCCACGCCTACCACAGACCAGAATGCATCACCCTCAGAGCCAGAGACAGTGAACCACGGAGGTTCCTCTCCTACCTGAACACACCTGGCATAGCCTCAGGCTCTTCCTGCCTAGCCGCTGCCTCTGAGCCCAGAGTGAAAAACCTGGATATTCTAATAGCAGTGACTAGAGTACATCCACTAACAGTTCCTTCCTTAGAGCATTCCATGTGTCACCTAGAGCCTTCCACTATAGGGAGGCCCATTCACCTTCCCCCTTCAGAAAAGCACGGGTCCTCTTCAGGCTCCAGAAGTTGGGACAGGTGTGCCCTCAGTTCTTCAGATGAAACAATCCCCAGTCCTCCAGACCTAGCCCTGCTTTCCGGCACTTCCAGTAGGAGGGGCCCAGCTCTCACCGTGCCATCCTTGAGCCAGTTCTGGAAGTTCTCACGCCCAGGCTGGGGCCGGCCCACATCCTTGCGGCACTGGGCTGTAATCCACTGGATCAGGATCTGCTCCAGGTCTGCATCATACTGCTTCTCAATCTTCTGCTGCACCTCCCGACTCAGACCATAAGCAGGTCCCCTGTTGGCCATTCTGAAGGGTGGTGGTGGCTGTGGGGAACTAGGAAGGGGACACACCCAGGCCTGTGGTCAGCACTCTGTAGCCTGTGGGTTGGGGGTTTTGCCTGCAGGGATATATCCCACATCCCCAGGGTAGGCCCCAGAGGTGAGAACAGTTGCCAAATGAGGGAAAGGCTCACCTTTACCCCTGGACATGGGCTAGAATAGCACAGTTCAGCACTCTGGCCACACAGGCCACCTCTGGGCTCTCCCATCCCTATGATGGTCTGTTTATTATTGAGGTTTCCCACTAGATTGCATTTGAATGGTTCCATTACTAGAGTGAATTAGAAAACCCACCAGAATATAAGATATATGAGGCCAAGATTGGGGGTTCAGCCCCTCATTTAAGGTGGTCAGATTTAGGAAAGGCAACTGGTCATTCTAACCCCACCCCCTCCTTTTTTCAGCCCAGTAAGGAGAATGATTTTGGGAAACTAGGAAGAATATGGATCAGTTTGGGAAGACTATGGGAGGAGCTAGAGGACTGGCTGGATCAACCCTCAATCAGCCACTAGGTTAACTGAGCACCCACTATTTCTGCTAGGGATTGTAGAAGAGATAGAAGCCCTTTGTCTTCAAGTTGCCTCAGAGTGCCATCAGAAAGATGAAGTGAGAACAATGAAAGGATAAGGGCTGTACACGACAAGTATTAAACTGCTTAGTCAGACTATCTGTTGTAGGAATTTGAAGAATAGTATGGGCAAAAACAGCCTGGAGGGTTTTCTGGAAGAGGTAGGTCTGAATAGGCAGTTCACAGATTTTAGCAGGCAAAAGGAAACTCCCATGAGAAACCAGGCAATAAAAACAAATTCTACCTTCCTTTCTGGGAGCTGTGGTAGGCAGAATAATTGTTCCCCCGCCCCCACCC